GTGCAATCATTGTAGGAGGTTCCTGCAGTATGCTTTGGGTTTTGTGACTCGTCAGAGGTGTGCTTCTATCACTCTTATGTAGTTAAAACAAAATAATACAACTCAAGTTCATGTTTTTTTTGGTGGTTTTAAGATGGAGTTCGAGTACAACTTTTGTCCATGGATTTCAAATATCTTAGTGTTGAGAACGGAGGAGGAAATGTTGTCGTTGTAAACTGCAGTTCGGCTTCTGATTGGGAAATAATCTAGGTAAGTAATACTCTAAGTTGTATTATTGTATTTAAACAACTTTAGAAATCTTATTGACCCTATAAATATGCAGTTTTGGAGAGTCAATGACTTATCTTCCAATCTCAGAGTGTTCAACGGGAAACTTGTTGGGCTGGATAACCAAAGTGGCAACAGAATTTTCGCCGCTTTTGATTCTCCCGGCAACCGAGGAAAGTTTCAGATTGTAAGGAAAAATGATAATTCGCTCAAGATTCGAGTCGAAGCGTCAAATGGTATATTTGTAGGTACTGACCATCATTGCATTCTCGAGGTGTCAAAACATTACATAGATATTTGAATCCTTTGACCATATACGTATGAAGGTTCGATCGAAGACAATAGTGTGTGCAGGTTATCCCGTAGTTACGCTTACTGTAGCAGCAGCAACCACCCTGTTCCATTTCATGTATATATTTCCAAATTGTGGATGGTTTGCTCTGAGTTTTTTTTACTGATATTCTGGTTCCTCGTCGTATGCAGGTGAGGATATTGCAGGGGAAGCTACAGAGCATGGTTTCCGCCTTGGTTCCGGTTCTGTTTTGGGAAGAGAGAGAGAGAGAAAAAAATGAAGCCTAGACGCCGAAGAAAACAATTGATGCGGGCGTGACATAAACTTGAGGGTTGTACTGGAGCATGCATCCTGAAGACTAGCAATTCCAGGAGCCTGTTCGTTACTGAGTTGGCCTATTCTCGTGTGTTCATAGAGGAAAACCCCGTCGGGTAGCGGCATAGTCATACATATGGATAGGTTGTAAATGTAGTCTTAGTATTGAATGTTTTGTTGTATTCAACGCTGCGACTTATGCTAGTATCTGTGTTGTCGTAGTTGATAGAGTAAGCTTATGTGGACAGCACCACAGGAACCATTATGATATTTGCTGTTGAATTAAATTTGTACTTCGTACTGTTGGCACCTCATTGGTATGAATGCCGTCATGTCCTTGCAAGAAGCCTTGCTTTTAATGTAATCCAATCAATGTTCAGTGCTTCCGTTACTTGATATCACAACATATACCATGACATATTTAAATCAATTTGGTGGTATATACACCGTTATTGGGTTTAAAAGAAATGTCCCGCATGGAACCAAAAACTGCTTGTTTGCAATCAATAAGGCATACAAACAAATCACCAGGCAATAAGTCTAAATCCAAGACAAACATAAACCAAAAGAAGGTTTTATCTTAAGTAAATCTTCAACCAAAACGTATTCTCTATTCTCTGAGATGTACCGAACGCGTACCAAACGCGAGTTGCCAAACGCGAGTTGCCAACGACTTGCATACTGCATAGCTGAACCTTGCCCTTATTTGAACCTAACTCGCGAGAGTTCTCGTGACCTGAGCCTTAAAATATAATGAATTCATAAGCTTTAGTCAGATTATTAAACCATACTTCGAAATGAGAATAAATATCGTGCAGATCCTCTATGGATTAGGCCCGTATTCGACCCAAAGTTAAGAACCCAAATGCATGGAAGACGGCTAGCTTGGGAATCTTTAATAAGCAATGGGTGACCTCTGCATTTTGTAAAAGCCTTAATTCTCGTGCGTTTGAATGTAGCGATTTAATTTGGGAGTTGTCATAAACTCGTTATCCTGGGTAATGATCCTTGAGATTCCCGACCGTGAGGATGAATACCATCATTTTCCTGAAATTATCACGCTTGCACCAGCTTGTTAGTAAAACCATGCACACAAAGGCGTTGAGAAAAGAAGAAAAGAAAAAAAAGACAAGGAGGTGGGATCTTAAGGTCAAAAATTAGGGTGCGACAGTATTGTCAACCGTGGTAAAATGTGATACATATTTATTTATAAGCAAAGTTATCTCTCGCTTCATTATATAACAACCGTCTTTCTCAAAACAAAACCCTAACATCTATTTCACTCGTCACTCTAAAAACGAAACCCTAACATCTCTGTCACTCGTCTCTCTCATATGGAAACCCCAAATTTATGCAGCCAACTCGTCTTTTTCAAAGGATACCTTTGTTGCATCAAATCTTAGCTAATGACTACTTTACAAGTTCATATTCACTATAGTTTTTATTTTAAAATATGTTTATGTATTATTGTTTATGTTTCAATAGCTTATTTTATAATGTTTGAACTTTTTGCTTGTTTTGACTTATAGGTAGAGATGCTTGTTTCAATAACAAGGATGAAGCTAAAGTGAGTGTTGCAAACTTGTGTGAAAGATCCAGAATGACATTCATTCAAAATAGACATAAGTTTGCAGCTCTAACTTTAACTTTATCCTTCTTTCACTGTGGACACACCATTATAGGACATGTACATTTCTGAAATATTCTATGATTTGACATGTTTGTTGTATCGTGTATGTTATTTATGGTTTGTTGTTGATGAATGTTGTTGTTAATGTTTGTTTATAAGATGAGTTTATTATATCTTATGTGGTTTGAGTGTTTTTCTAATCTCTCACTGAATATATAACTTTTCAAATTTTATTAGAAAGTTATAATATGATAAATAAAGTTATATTAGAAAACAAGCACACGTTCAATTCTTGACAAGAGTTCTTCAATTTATTATTTGCATGTTGTTCTTTAACTGTTAGAACTTTATTTAATAATTGTAGTTCTTCAATCACCCCTCTCTCCACCTCTAATTTTGTTTTCAAAATGAACTAGAGGTGAAGGCAGAGGCGGTTGAAGAACTAGGATTATTAAACAAAATTCTAATTGTTAAAGAGTAAAATTTTGATAAGGAGTTAAAAAAACTCTTGTCAAGCATTTAAGGTGAACTTGTTCTTCTAATATAAATTAATTTGTTATATTATGTTCAGATCAAAAGGTTATATGTTTAGTGAGTATTGGTGAAATAAACATTCCATGTAATTTATAACTATATATAAAGGAGATACACCATTTTGGGCTAACCTATTTTTGTTCCAATATTACCCTTGATAATTGCATATTTTTCAAGTATTATTTATTTTCTACTTTTATATAAAAATAATAATAAGAGTAATTACAAATACAAAGAGTATTTAGAGGTTTAGTGGTTACCAAAGAGGTTTCACAAAGTTTTATCTATATAAAATGGATATAAATGTGATGAAATAGGGATAAGATATATCTTGAAATAATTGTGATAGATAATTGTAAGTAGTATATATGAAGAGGGTCACATTCTTATAACAATGAGTATGACTTTCAATTATGTGATGGATTGTTGCAATGATTGTGAGTCTACCTCATTATTTCATGTTACATTTTTAAGTAACAATAGGTAGAAATAAGTGATCTTAGGGTAAAGGAGTTTGGAAGGTTTGAAAGACAAATAAAATTAGAGAAGAAATATTGCGATAGTTTTGCAACATTAATGCATCAAGGCAGTGCAATGTGGTGGTTGTATTTTGTTTGACTTTTTCTTTCCAATTTTTTCTGCAGATAGACAAATTTATTGTGTTTTTGGACTTATGTATAATATGTTTATTTATAATTTATGTTTTTATCTTTTCTCTACAAATTAAATTTCCATTTCATTTATTTTACAATAATTGGTGTAGGCACTACACCAAAATTGATATTTTGTATCGCCTAATTTAATAGCGCTTTTAAAGAAAGTGCTATTAAAAAGGAAACAAACACGTCTATAATAGCACTTTATGGTCGGAGGATATTATAGGGGACATAGAATGTGATTTTGATAGCACTTTGTAAAAAAAATGCTATTATTAAACTTCACTAAGATAGCGTTTTTTAAAAAACGCTATTAAACTTCACTAAGATAAGGGACTGTTCATTTTCACGGAGAATATCCTAAAATCTTCTTTCCTCTTCGCTCCCAGATCCGCCGCCAACATCTCCTTTCCTCTTCTTCACTCGCAATCGGAACCCTCTTCTTCACAAAATATAGAAGACCCTTCACCCTTGTCCATCACCATCTTCTTCATCCATTTTCGTCGCCGACCCTTTCCTCTCATTTTTTTTACCGTCAAACTATCCCCCACCGTTGTCATCTTCAAGCTTCTCCTTCATCATTCTTTTCACCATCACCAACCCATATCTCCGAACCAGAAAACCCTTCAACCACACTCCTTCAGCTCGCTATTGATACCCTCATTTTCCTGATCTGAAACAGCGGCGTCATCGCTCTCGAGTCCACTTCCAACATCAAGCATCGGTTTCGACGATAGTAGTTTTGCGATAATGGCGACGGACGAGTAACAACAACTTGCGGCTTCGTCCTTTTGAGTGTCGATTTCCTGTTTTTGTTTGCAGGTTTCCAATGATGGCATTTTCAGTTCATCGCTCGTTGAGCTCAAAGGAAATCGTGATTTGCTGCACTTGGAGGTTCAAGTCGTTGTAATTTTCAACGTTATTGTGCGACTCAGTTCAACAATCAGCCGTGAATGACTCTGCAACTGTCTATAAGTCTTTGCAAAAAGAAATCACCACGACAACATAACGAAGCCAAGCTGTGAACAACCCAACAAGCTCTGTAGTGCCTGCCGCAACAAGGCAAGTATTTAGAAATCGTTCAAGAGGGACCCATTGTTTGATTCGGATCCAAATTCGAGGTAACAATTCAAAATATTTTTCGGTTTATTATTGGCTTCGGTTTCAATCCTGTTTCAAGCTTTGTGTCTCTAGTGATTGTAACCAGTATAGGCAAGTTTTGATTCAGTTATGAGTACTCTCAGTGTGAAATATTTTGGGCTTAATTTTGCTTCTATAGTATTTACAACAATTTGTGCATTTTATTATGCAGGTGAATGCGTTCAGGGAGAGGAGAGCCCTTGCTTTGACATTGAATGACACCAAAACGGCAGTGAACACAATTTTCCCTTCTCAAGAATCCCTCGTTACAAATTTGGTCCTTAGAAGGTTTGGTTCGGTTTTTTTTTCTTCCCTTTTTCTTCAACTACGCTATTCATCATTTTTTAATGTTTTTTTGGCAAGAATGATCATAAAGATTGCATTTTGGGTTTCATGCATTTTTGGGTTTCATGTGTTTTGTGTTGTAACTTTTTCAGGGATCAGTTAGAGGCGTTTGAGATTGCAAAGAGGAGTAATACAATAGCAATAACGGATACAGGTTCAGGAAAAACACTGATAGCTATAATGCTTATTAAAGAAATTGGTCAAGCTGTTAGGTCTAGTGGTGTCAAAAAAATTATTGTTTTCTTGGCTCCAACTGTTGTTTTGGTCAATCAAGCATGTTCTTTTCTTAACTCTTTCATTTCATAATCTTGTTGGTGAAAACTTATAAGTGTTATGATCTTGTTGGTGAAAATTTTAACTGTTGTTGCAGCAATACAAGAATATAAAACATAACACAAATATTCAAGTTGAGGAGTACCATGGGGCTAAAGGAGTTGATACATGGAAATTCGAGAGCTGGCAGAAGGAAGTTAGAGATAATGGTGTATGTTTGTTTCATATCCTGCTTTTATCTTTGTTCATGGGTGGTTTTATTTTCATTGATTTGCAGTATTGACTGGTTTATGAGATTATGCTGAATTAATTATAGAATTATATTGGTTAGTTACGCGCTTATCATATAAGTACTTGTGTATAAGCTATTTCTATAACAAAAATAAAACAAACTGTTCAAAATAAGCTATATGTTATTTTCATAAGCTGTATTGGAAAGCTTATGGAAATAAGCTAAAAACAACTTATGGATATGTTATAAGTTGTTTCCGTTAGCTCTTTCAAACAGTCTCAGAGTTGCTTATGTTAGAAGTCAATTTCAAATAAGTCAAAATGTACTTACTAGCATAGTACTATTATTATGTGAGAATGTTAATCAATGAAACAAATGCAATGTAGTAAAGGTAAAAACATTAATGTAGAAAGCATTGAAGCTTCCGCCTTGTTGACAAACATTATGTTCAGTTCAGTGTTTACTATTTAGTACTATCAATAAATTTAAAAATAGTAATCTTACCTCTAAAGATTATCATTATTACTTTGAAATGAGTTTTCATGTAGTCTTTGATGTCGATTTCAATAACATGTTTCACAAGTAATTGACTCCATAAATTATGCTAATGAACTTGAATATCATTGACTTGGGTCTATGTTTATTGATTCAAAATAATATCTTTTTGTCTTATAGGCAATGGTTATGACACCCCAGACTCTTTTGGATGCCTTAAGAAAAGCATTCCCGAGTATAGAAATGATATGCTTGATGGTTCTTGATATTGGAAATTGCCACCACCAAATTTCTTCTTTTTGTGAGCTCGCAACTTGTCTTGGTTGCATTTATATTCGGTAACACTTCTGATCATGTTCCAGCTAGTTGGTCAATGGTCACAAATTGAGTGGAAAGACGAAATTCATCACATACTTAGTATTCTCATGTCATACGTTATGGGGTACTATCTACTCCGACAATGTTAACCTTTTAGCAGGGTAGACTTTATGTAAAAAGTTCCTTTTGCTATTGTTGTAGATTAGTTTGATATCTACTAGATTAGTTACTTTCTCAAGTAGTTTTATTTAGATATCGAGTATTACATGGTTATGGGGGCAAATCTACCGATATGGGATGGTCAGTTGCTGGACAGACATTGTTATGAATTTTGCTACTCAATCCTCCCATTTATTGTAGTATTGAGTTCTAAAATCTCATTTTCTTAAAAGAATAAATAAAAGGAATTAATAGCGCTTTTCTAGAACGTGTTATTAAAGATAGTGTCTACAATAACACTTTTAGAAAAAAGCGCTATTAAATACAAGGACTATAATAGCACTTCTAAAAAAATCGCTATTAAATACAAGGACTATAATAACACTTCTTCAAAAAGCACTATTAAATCCTTTCATAAACAAGGTGCATGGTAGCGCGAAACAGGGCAATGATAGCATTTATAATGAAGCGTTATTAAAAACACTCATTTTAGTAGCATTTTCAAAGTGTTATTATATGTATCAAATCTATAATAACGAGTGCTTTTATAGCGCTATTAAAGATGAAAAAAAGCGCTATTAAAAACAATTTCAATGTCTTCTGTTTCTTTCCATTTCCAATGTAAATATTGAAATAAAGTATACTATTATATCATCCTCATAACAATATCGCACCTTGTACTACTAGTTTTGTTTACTCTAATTTCTTTCTCTTTGAGTTTGTCTTACCCTTCCCTATTGCATCATCAATACTCATATTTACCATTTTCCTTTTTTTCATTTTTGTTTAATATCTATAATTATAGATAAAGAGATATAAAGTTCTGGGCTGACCGAGATTATTCCACTAATCTTCTTAATCTATAACTATATATAAATGGGATACACCATTTTGAGCTGACCTATTTTTGTTCTAATATTACCCTTGATAACTGTATATTTTTTCAACTATTATTTATTTCCTAATTTTTTTATAAAAAAATAAGAGTAATTACAAATACAAAGAGTATTTAGAGGTTGAGCAAGTACTGAAGAGGTTTTATAAAGTTTTCTCTAACCTTATAAAATGGATATAAATGTGATGAAAGAGAGATAAGATATATCTTAAAATAATTGTGATAAATGATTGTAAGTAATATTTATGAAGATGACCACATTCATATAGCAATGAGTATGGCTTTCAAGTGCATGGTGGATTGCTATAATAATTTTGAGTCTACCTCGTTATTTAATGTTACATTTTTTAAGTAACAATGGGTAGAAATATGTGATCTTAAGGTAAAAGAATTTGGAATTTTTTGAAAGACAAATAAAATTAGAGAAGAAGGATTGCGACGGTTTTGCAACATTAATGCATCAAGACAGTGCAATGTGGAGGTTGTATTTTGTATGACTTTTTCTATCCGGTTTGTTCTGTAGATAGACAAATTTGCTATGTTTTTAGACTTATGTATTATATGTTTATTTATAATCTATGTTTTTATCCTTTCTCTGCAAATTAAGTTTTCATTTCATTTATTTTACAACAACGGGCGTAGGCGAAATAACAATTTCAATGTCTTTATTTCTTTCCATTTCTAATGTAAATATTGAAATAAAGTATGCTATTATCTCATCCTCATGACAATATTTTACCGTATATTACTGGTTTTGTTTACTCTAATTTCTTTCTCTTTGTGTTTGCCCTACCCTCTCCTATTACATTGACAATACTCATATTTATTCTTTTTCTTTTCTTCATTTTTGTTTAATATCTATAATTATAGATAAAGAGATATAAAATTTTGAGTTGACCTAGATTATTTCAACAATCCTCCTAAAAGAATAGTTATCATGTAAAATTTTCAAAAAAAATTCTCAAACATTTGTGACTGACATTTATGTAAGGAGCAGTTATTTTAAGAAGAAAAAAATTTATATACATGGAAGTTGAAATCGGTCAACATATACAGATTTAATGGCCATTAGTGAATAAATTAATTTTAAAAAAATTGTCACACATCTTTCGTTTTGTATCTGTATACACTTTTCAATAATTTTTCTATTGTAATTTTTAATTTCAATTTACAATCACACAAACCAAAATAAAAAAAAGTTGTTTTTTAACCATAATAATAGATGCACCAAATATCTGCCTAACGCAATCAAAAGAGAAAAGGAAAAAGAAAAAGAAAATAAATATAGAGGAACAAATGAAAGAAGAATAATAATAAGGAAGTGAAAAAAGAGGGAGACATGTGAACTATAAATTTGAGAAAAAAATAGGTAATTTAAAAAGATGATTTAGAAAATTTTGGATATGAGAAAGAACATCACAAAATTTATTACAAAAATATTTTATGTTAAGTCAAAATTAAATAAAAAATATTTATTTATATTTTGATACATGTGCATATTTAATAAAGCGGAAAACGTGCCCGTTTGAACACTAGTTTATAACAAACTCAGTGTATATATCACAATTGTTATTTATACCAATGTTGTTAAATATTATGCATTAAAGAATATTACAATGGTTGTTTAAAGTAATCGTTGTGGTAGGTAACACACTAAATAGTTATAATCACAATCGCACGACCATGGCGGAAAATATCATACATACAATCACACCTTAATTCACAATGGTTGGTTCAATATGGTGGTATCCCTGTACCAATCGTTGTGATAAGTGTTTTTCGTAGTAGTGTCTATATTCAATACTTGGCGGGCATACCTTTTGCGAGTGAAACCATTCACTCGCCCATAGCAAATCCTTATGCAATTGTGTTGAGCATATGGTGTATGAACTTTTCCCCCTCTTCTTTGGATGTCTCTTTTCCCTTTCTAGAACAGGGGTTTCCTGTGTAGTCCCACCTTCAGGAGTTGGACTATCCTGAACCTTTTCAGGTATCGCCTTTGACATACTTTTTTAGGTGCCCCAAATGGATTAACTGTTCAATCTCCTTCTTGAGCTAGTAGTAGTCTTATGTATGACGCTCTTTAACTTTATAGAATTTACACCATTAGTCTAGTTCAGGTCCCATAACGTCTGCCTTTGGGGCTGGAGGAATTATAATATTATGTAGGTGGAGAAACTTGCACCAAATATGGTCACGACGAGTGTTCAAGGGCGTGAAGCTCTTCCTTGTCTTTCCTAGTTGCTTGAAGGTGGCTTTATCCTTGACGGGTGAGACGTAGTTACTCTTGCGCGAGTGTTGCAAACTTTCAGCGGTAGGTACACATTATTTTATGCCTCCCGCCTTTTTTCTTGACATTGCTTTCCTTGCCCTTTAAGTAACATTCCACCCCTTGTGACCACTTATACTAACGAAGATGCTGGCCTATGGGTGAGAAACTCATTTAAGTCTCATACTTTAAAACCATTTAGGAACGCCCCCGTGAACATTTCTTGGTTTGGGGGGATGACCCTTATAGTAATCTCATTGAAACGGGTGAGGTATTCCCTTAACTACTACGAGGGGTCTTGTCATATGTTGAACAAGTTGGTGGTGAACATCTTCATGTGTCTAATGGATGTGAACTGATGTATAAGTTTCTTCACTAGCTCTTGATAGTTGGCAATGGAAGTTTGTGGTTGGCCCATATATCACTATAAGATTGCGTCTCTAAAAAGTGCTAGACAACAATTTTCACTTTAGGGAGTCAAGGCTCCGATGATGGTCATCTATGTGTTGATGGAGGTGACATGCTTATAAGGATCACCGCGCCCATCAAACTTCACTAAAGAGGGGGCTTTGAACCTTTCAAGGACAGACACTTCCCATATTTTATCTCAAAGTGGTTAGTGGTCTAGCATTTCCATCTCCCCTGGGGGTTAGTCTTAAGTTGGCGCTGTTGGATGTTGGGAACATTGTCCTCCATGCTTTGATTTTGGTGGCGCAATTTATCCATGACGGTATGCTCTTTTAGTAACCATGATTGGTAACAATTAGGCTTAAAAACAGATGTTTCAGTAAGTATTTAAGGGGTGATGGTAATGAAAGGTGTGGCCCAAATTAGTCTTACCAAGGTCCCACGGCGGGCGCCATTGTACTTGTCAAAAAATACATGATTATGTGGTACCCCTAAGTAGGGATGACCAAATGCGTTAGTATTTTCTAGTAAGTTATAACTTGTCTGCGGCGACAAAAAGCCCTTTGTGGTGGTGTTTTTGGCTATGGAAAGAGCAAGTTTGCGTAAGGTGAGAAGCTCCATGTTTATATGTTATTTTGGGTATATTATATGATTTGTCACTCTTTAACCCTAAGGTTGAGTTATTTATAGAATCGTCTGAGTCTATGGTTCAAAGAATCTGTAAAAAGTGGTAATTGCTCTCTCATAATTAAGATATGTTACTTATTGCTTATTTTCTACGAAATCATGGCTTGACTTTACACATATATAATTACAAAATGGATAAAAGATATCATCCACATTTTCCCCTTAAAACAAACCCCATGCCACACATAAAAGGTACGTCCTGAACGACACCTCATAGGGCGGTCACTTAACGAATGACACATGTTATCCTATTTAGAATCCTTATGAATATACCATACAAAATGTATTATTATAAATTAGAATTGAAATATTTTTTATAGTTAAAAAATGTCAAGTTAAATTAAAATATAAAGTGTAACTATTGTGACAAAATTGTGAAAATAAATCAAAAACAATTATGAATAATGTCATAAATTTTTTAAATTAAATAGTTTCATAAAATTTATATTACAAACTAAAATCTCACTTAATCAAATGCCTACAAACTTTTAATCTAATTAACCTTTTATTTTATTATTTTCTTTAAACATAAGTTTAACTTTTTATTTAAATATATTCAAATGAAACAAAATTTTAAGCATACGAACACCGGTAAGCTATAGCTAA